CTCTTTCCACAAAAAAGTGATTAAAAACAGTTTTTGCATTTTTTGTTTATTTTTTGTGGTAATGCTAGAAACATATTTTCAGTATAAAAGTTTATGTTTTTACATAAATATATCCTTCCCATGACCTTAATATTTTGTAGTGAGTCGTTATAAGGGGGAACAAATGCATGCTAAATTTTCTTTTTTTAATGTTTTTAGGAGGTTGAATCCTCTGCTGTGCCAGGAAGAATAAGTGTTCTTTTAAGTGCTTATCTAAAACAAAAAACAAAAATCAAAAGAGTTGCCTGTGTTAACTATGTGAGGTGATGCATATGTTTATTATCCTGATCTTGGTAATTTTTCTACAGTGTATAACAAATCATCCTATTGTGCACTTTAAATATATACAATTATAGTTGTCGGTTATTCCTGAAAGTTAAAGAAAGTACTTATGTATATGAAGAAGATTGATATTTGGCTAATAAATTGGATATAACCTACTTAACCTTTGACTTGATAAAGGATTAGGCCTTGTGAAACATTAGATACCTCACATGCTACTGGTAGGAACCTTTGAAAATGTCATTTGTCATTCAAGTGAATGTTTTGTTAAAACTCAAAGTTGTACCCATTGGCGTCATATTAACTAAGTATTTTCAATAAAATGCATATGGACACATTTGTTTAGTGCGATAACTAAACAGCCACTTTACTTCTATAAGGAAAAGCTGAAAGTTTTATTTCTTTTTTGGCTCTTTAATAAAGTAGTCAAAATTAATTATTTGGTTAAACAGTAGCATAAAGGATATATGAAATTTAGTTTATGTTTTCCGGGAGACAGTTTTCCTTGGATCTCTTCATTTCTGCACGTGTCTGATCAAAGACATTGACGGCTTTTGTTCTGGACCATCTTTTTGAGGATGTCTGTATAGGAAACAGCCTTGGAAGAGAGAGATTGTGTCTTCCTCCAAGGCAGAGGGCAGATTTGTTTGTGTCAAGGTACTTTCACCTTCCTTTCCCTA